TCAATAAAAAAAATTACTGATTAACTCATACTATATTGTTTGTAGAACTATTTGATAACACAACATTCAGTAATTGTTATTATCGATAGAAAACATCAATGTAAATTACGAAAGGTTGTCTTTTATCAATAAAAGTTATGAAAGGTTGTCATTTATCAATATGAAGTATGAAAGGTTGTCTTTTATCAATATGAAGTATGAAAGGTTGTCTTTCATCAATATAAACAACTGTTGTTTTTTATTTGTCTTGTTGGAACAGCTACAAAGCTGTCCAGTCACCTAGATGTCTCTATTGAAGTTGTACAATGTATTGACTTTGTTCATACCGTAAATGTCTGGGGTCATAACTTTTTTTGGTTTTATCCTAAATTACTCCTCAACCAAGCAGCTACCAGATAAATAGGTTGAAATCATTTCCTGCATTTTTTTAATGCAGATATGAACAATGAAGTGCTCATTCTGAAATCTGGTTTTCATTACCGCAATTGACCTAATAAACACTTCTGCCCCTATAAGCGCACCCCCACATTTTATCTGGAAAAGAGGATGGGTACCCTTTAATAACTTATTTCTCATCTAAATTGACTGTTAAAACTTTGATCACTGCCCGAGTCTGTGCTGTCCGCCATTGTTTTTCAGTGATCGCATTGGTCACGATTGTCTTGGAAAACTCCCGCAACATTGTTATTTTTCACTGAAAGATGACCAGTTAGCTACCATTTTGAACAGGAAGTTCTGATCTAGTACTGCAAGATCTCACAGCTACTCACTTCTGTAGCAACCAAAAACAAGCCTAGAGACCAGTTTTTGGCTGGTTAGAACACAAACGGACATTGTTGGTTTCCATCGGTTTGAGCAAGAGATTTATAAAGAGCATCCCTCGTCGCGTATCAAGTCAAATGCGGAATGTGTCATTTCAGTGAGATGACAATACATATGAATTGTTCTTCCACACAAAACCTCTACAATGCCAGAACTACAAACATGACAAACAATACCAATATATAAATGTCTATCCTCACAGCACCATTTACAATGAAACCTGTCTATAGTCATCACCTGTCTATAGCAACCATGGTCTATAATGATCACCTGTCTAAAGTGACCACTTTTATAGAATCACTTCCTGTCTATTTACAATGTGTCTATAATAAGTCACCTGTCTGAAGCTACTAGCTATGTTCAGTTGGAACCTGTTTATAAACACAATGATTCCTTTATTTCATTGAACGGTCTTTATTCATGTCTGCTTTAAGTGACCCGTTAACTCATTCACCCCTGAAGACACATTTGAACCCTTCCAATTCAAAGGTTGGAATAGTTCACTATGGAACTTCAGGGGTCAATGAGTTAACACGAGTACATGTAATACTTCAGATCTGGTATCAGAAAACATTTTAATATCACAAAAAGTCATTGGAACACTCTAAAACATTGTCACATTTCAAGGCATTGTGTTGGTTGAGATACTGATTTTCCTTTTCAAGAAATCAACATTCTGAATTCATTGAAAACATCATTTCAACGAGAAAACATGGCATAGATATACATTGATGTATGTGTCAATCTTCAAGTCTTTCTTCATGTACCTTAGGAATTTACGGCCAGTGAGCGTATATTTCAGCTTTAAAGTTTCTCATTTACTACAAAAATTATTGTGAACACCAGACACTACTTGTACAACAATAGATTAGATGTGATAATGGACCAGCACTATATAATACCTTCTTATCATGATGTGAATTGGTATTGTGATGTGTATCATGCTAAATATTGAGATCTACAATGATACATAGAGGATATTTAATGGTTTCTCTTTGATATTTTTTATGAGTGGAGAGCACGAGTGAAATTATCAAAATATTCTGCCGTACAAGTTAAATATATATGGTATTTAACAGGTTTTTAACGGATTTATGTTTTTTTAACACTTTCACCACTGTAGACCATAATGGACTCATCCAGATCAATGCATGGTAGAGTCTATTAAAGTTACATAGGGGTGAAAGGGTGAAGTAAAATACAAAAAATATTGCTGCATCAACAAAGTAAAGGAATTAGTAGTGTAATATTTGATGCCAGGTTCTAATAATGTCACTGGGACTCACACTTGACTACAAGGCTGTGCGCCATTTTGAATGGGCTATTCAATGCCATTCTACTCTTTTCTGCTATTTTCTGGTAGATTTTGCTTACTTCAATGTTATCAATAACAAAGTTACGTCAATAGCTCAGTGTATGTACCAAAGATGTACAAAAACAACCACTTATTTTACTGTCGCTTCATGATCATCTGCAACTGAACAGAAAATCTTGACCATTTTGAATGGTCAATATGATATTTATTATAGACCTTATATCCTCACATGTAAAGATGTAAACATGACATTTATCTTCACTGCATTGCTGGTCGTGGAAAAAAAATCATATTTGCTAAAATGGCATACACATGTTTAAAATACCTTCTTATGAAATATACCGATACAAATTTTGCTGAAATTCACTCCCTAAGAGTAAAAATTATAATTATATTAAAGAAATCCTAAAACTCCACCTGACAGTCTAAAACTCTCAATTGACCCAGATCAGTGATGTAATTTTACCGCACGCGCGTCATCAACAAGGCCAAATGTATACATCGCGGCAAAAGAAAAAGATGCATGCAAAAGTCATGACAGGCACAAGGTATCAATACCGTTATATATAACAACAACATATAGGTAGGAATACTACACTTGCATCATACATGACCTTTGAAAACAATTATTTACGTATAGTATTGCTGTCTTGTCCGCTAGTTGAGTCCGACATGGCACATGACGGCGTGCTATTGTTGTTTACATGGGGCTTCCCCAAGATTTCAGTGGTCAAAACTGGACATTGCAAGCAGAACTCGACCATCATATTGCCGTGGTATAACTTTTGGAAGGCCAGAGAACGCATTTAGACCCATTTATTTTGTAATTTTTTCCCCGACCAGCCCGTTTAAAGATGCATGTTTCATCACAATGATAATTTCTGATGTTTTACTGGAAAATGTAATAAATTGTGATATATATCATGATATTTCAGTATCAATATTTATCACATATATACCTATGTAATCTTACAATAGTAATACAACAATTTTCTGTTGATGTTTTCTGTCGGTTTGTATCACACATGTGTGATACAAGATGTTGTATCACCATACTAGCCGGAACTACCCTTCATGGGAATCCCCTCGTCATGGCGAACTGAAAAGTTCCTGGTATATGCAAAAAATATCAAAGTTTATAGAATCTTTGTATCGATCTCTACCAAATACGGAACTTCCGAAGGAATGTGATAAAAGCAAGACCACACACTTGTGTTTTTCTAACGAGTGGATATTTTCGTCCGTGCAATAAACTCGTGCTTTCTGATTCGTTAGAAATACACAAGTGTGTGGTCTTGCATATTTATCAATCTGTCTACAATGAATACTGTGGTTATGTCATCTGATCTATTGTGATGTGTTTTGTGATTAATGATGCTACTTATAGTGATATATTGGGATGTATTGAGATAGGTTTTGTGTTACAATGAGATATGTTTTGTGACATATAAATTGTGACATTTATTATGACACAGAGCTAGTAGTGATACCATGGGAATAAAAATCCAGCAATTTCATTTCATTTTTAGAAATTCTTCAACTCCTTCATTTCAATGAAATGATGACCTTATTATTGAAAGGTCTATGTATACACAAGTTTTTTAATAACATTAGAAATATACAGACGACCAAAAACATGCAACAAATTCAAAGGAAAGGGATTTTCACCTTGATCCTTAAATCCAGAGTGACTTTTTCTGGCAGAAATAAAATCACACAAAAAGTGGGAATACCATGTGACATGATACATTTTGTTTTGATTGTAATCACAGCTACAATTAAATTCTAAATTCAACACTTTTTGACTTCGTCATCTTTAACAGTCAAGGATACATTATTACAGATATGGCTTCACCTACCCTTGTTCAGAATGGGTAAGGGAGGTAATTCCACTGTCCTAACAATTAGCGGTCAAGTATATTGATTAGAGATCTGCCGAAGTCACTACGACAAACCAGCAGTATAAACATTTAGCAAATTAACTTTTATTAGCAACATAATATTTCTACCCCAGAAAACCTTCTACTTATTCACAAATCATAAATTGACACTTCAAATATTATAAATATACAGACTACTACTTAATCTAATTTAGGACTTATCAAAATTAAGTGTTTTAATTTTGACCAGTGACCAATGAAATCTAATCAGGGATTGAACTTTATATTATCACACTATGGTGTAAATATAAACTGAATCTTTGTAGAGGTTCATGAGATATCTTCTGTACACGCTTTTCACATCAAAAGTGTACCAGTGTTCAAAATCTAATCACATGAAGAACTTTATGTCAACTAAATCATTTGAGAGGTTCTTCTTGAGATTTCTTGTGCACAAACTGTTTTGCTTCAAAGCAGTTAATCGTGATGTTGACCTTTGAATCTTGTCAAATGACCAACAAAATCTAAATCAGGGCTGTATTCATGAAACTTTCCTTCTCATGCTCAAACTCAGATTCTGTGCCCCAAGCCCAATTTCTTGTTCCCATGATAAAAAAAATTGTCCATGATTTGAAATAACTTCAGTGAGTCTTCAAACTAAACATTATTTTCAATGTAAACACTTGGCTTTTTGACTTTGTCACATGATTTAAGCAAGTTACAAGGAGGTTGGTTGGAGCAAAAATATCCCTGTTTGAGCATAAGAATGGTTTTATGAATAGGGATTAGTTGTAGAACTTCATATTACCATATTATGGTGCAAAAATGAACAAATCTGTAGAAGATTCATGAGATATCTTTTACAAAGGTGTTTTAGCATGGAGGCACTGAAAAAGCAAATTCTATATACCCCCCATCCACAAAGTGGGGAGTATCAAAATGCTAAATAAGTATATTTATAGAAGACAAAAATCTTGACTTACTGCTTTAGCCATGTCTTTGTAGGTCATTCCATCCCAATGTTTTCTCTCTGCCGGGTTATTGACACCAACACCAAACTGAGGCTCCGCCCAGCATTCTGTGACAATCTGTACATCCCCGTCGGCCTCTGTGGTCTCCAGCTCATCCACGTCCTCCTCCGACACACTGCAACACACCACCCAGAGCAATGGTTAAACTAGTCACCAAGTAATCGAAACAGCTCATTAGTAAAATATTATACATTACATTTTCATTATACAAAATGTAATTCCTTATACATGTATTAACATTATCAATTGTAATTGCATTCATAGAGCTATGAATGCACTAGGATCAGTGTCATTTTAACATGTTTTTTCCCACCTTGCAAATTGTGAAACAATTGAAAGAAGCAAACATTTAGATGACACGAGTCTTTCCCTGAATTCACATTGACAGTACAGGAACTTGTATACTTTGTAACTTTTAAGGAATATATATACTAATTACTATAAATTTAGATTTTAAACATACATTGTTTGACATTTACGCCAGTATGAGGTTGGCTTCGTGCATATGGATGCAACTGATTTACATTCATTGCGGCATGAATGTTATACCAAATCCGTTCAACCCAGTATGAAAAAAACCCAAAAGTAACTGAATGATATTGTTTTAAAAACTGAAACCAATATTTCTAACTTAACATGATTAAGGAATTTATTTCATTAGGCAAAAGAATTTTGAAATTTTGATATTCATGAGACACTTCCTTCTACAATGGACAATATGTTTGCAGCACAAGTCTTTTTAAGCTCCGTCAAAAACAAGTTTGTCATATGGTGGGAACAAGATATACTCTAATACAAACCTGTCCCTGACAGTTATAACGTAGGGTAGGAACATGATATACTGTAATACTGACCTGTCCCTCGTGGTTTTGACGTAGGGTGGGAACATGATGTATTGTATGGCACACTTAGTAACATCTGTGTCCACTCTATCTTTGTCCTATATAAACAGATATCATTTGTTATTTATTTGCTCAATTGCAAAGAAAGACAAAAAACAAGGCAAAGTATTGTGAACTTTCCATAGATCACAATCACCAGGCCAAGGAACCTGTTCGTAATGTGAAACAATCGGTTGGCCTGTTTTTAAGTGTGGCAACTTCGGGTATGAAGCCTTGTGACCTGCAAATGTTTATGCAAGCCTTGCAAGGCTCGACTATATTTTATGAATGAACAACTCTGGTCCAACCGGTCCAGCAGTTTGAATCGCGCAATAAACGAAAGTGGCCCTGAAAACTAAACAAAGAGCCATAACTCTGCATATAGTTGGGCACATACCCACTTTCAGCACGCAACACTCTTGTCACCTCTTTAAGTACACAAAAGGAATATAAAATTTGGCAATTCTAGATGACAAAGTGTATAAGATATGCCCTGGATATAGTGATTCACTGACTGATAGATTGACTGATAGACAAAATGAATATACATCCCCCTCTGGATTTACCGAGGTTTCACTAACCCATAGGATGTTAAAAGATGTTTGCTCAGCTGCCCAACAATGTAGGTTTTAACAGGTACTCTGGTTTCCTCCCACATTAAAAAGCCCATACATAACAGTGATTCATATAAGTTGAAGAACTTGTTTTATAATTGTTGTAAAATAAATGAAGTATATATTAGTGCCCTCTGGTAGTGACAAGAAGAGCATTTATACATAAGATTTTTGAGGTGAAAGGTAAAAATTCTATATATAACTTACCTGCATTTCAACTTCAGCCACCATGTTGACGATACCAGAGTTACTGGATACAAAATTGAATCCCTCTTGGAGACGAATTCTGAAAAGAGAAAAATAAATTAACTATCATTGTGTCCTAGTTTCATTCTCAACTTACTAGTCCTGTTATTCATGCAGTTTTGGTGTCTGGAAGACTTTGCATTTATCAACTCATCACATGTGACCCTGGTAAGATAAAATTTCAAAAGTATAGGCCAAATATTTTTATCCTGAATGTGATCTTCTTCAAAGGATGTGACATAGTTGATAGGAATTAACTTTGCTAGAGAGGGAAGAAAGTGACCTACTTACTTGGCTAGTGTTAACAGGAAGTGACCTACTTACTTGGCTAGTGCTGACAGGAAGTGACCTACTTACTTGGCTAATGTTGACAGGAAGTGACCCACTTACTTGGCTAGTGTTGACAGGAAGTGACCTACTTACTTGGCTAGTGTGGACAGGAAGTGACCTACTTACTTGGCTAGTGTGGACAGGATGCGACCTATGGCTGGCATGCTGATCTCCACTTTGCCTTGTTTGACTGTCCAGACCCAGCGCTGATGGTGGAGGTAGCGAGACATCATGTTGAAGGTGTTGGCCACAGCTGTCTTACTGGCGAGCTGCTGGTTAGACAGGTGGCTGGGGAGGAACTTGTAGGGGTCCTCTATAATACTCATGTCCTGAGGTAGGCGGTCATAGCTGTAAGGAAAACAATCAATCTGGACTTAAATAATTGTTTTTATTTTATAATGTATACCATCAAACCTCATAATTATAAGACTCTAAGATGGTCATTTTACACTAAATTTCATGTAAAATTATTTTTAACAGTTTAGCCTTTTCAATGGAGCCACATATATACCTAGGTAATGTAGGTGGGTTGTGCAACGGCTGACTTACTTGCACACTATTGCATAGAAAAAGGAAAACATTTCCTCGACAACACTTACTGGATAAGTTGACATCTGTAGATGGAACTACCAACTGTACTGATAACTCAAATAAAACTAAATGTCAAAGTTAAAATTACTTGTCTTCAGTGTTTTCCCCAGAATGTTTTTAAAGGAGCATGGTATTTCATTATTTCTGTTAAAGCAGCACTCTATGTAAAATCAAAGCAGCATGGTAACTTTAGATTTACTATGAATATATAGTAGAGAAGATCTAGGATAGCAGCCTGGTGCCATGCTGCAAAAACAGCCTGGGGAGAACACTGGTCTTATGGGTATCTGCTCCAATTAGGGAATAACAGTTTACTGATATTAATTACCTTATGAGTATCTATGAAAGTAACATATTACTCATTTGATGAGTGTCTATGTGAGTAACAGTTGAATCACCTTACAAGTGTGTATGGGAGTAACAATTGACTCACCTGATGAGTATCATGGGAGTAACAATTGACTCACCTGATGAATATCATGGGAGTAACAATTGACTCACCTGATGAGTATCATAGGAGTAACATTTGACTCACCTGATGAGTATCATGGGAGTAACATTTTACTCACCTGATGAGTATCTGCTCTATAGGTTTGATCAGCAGCACACAACATTTTATTTCTGACCAGTCCCGTAAAAGTGGTGACGGCCTCTTCTTTAGTTTCCTCACTGCGCTGTCCTTAGTAGGAGAAACCTTGGATTTTTCTACTTTTGTTTGGCCTCTCTTGGGAAACCTCAGGGCGGCAACTTTGTCTCGTAATTCCTGTATAATACAGTACCTCTCCCAGCCAGGGGAGCCCCCTAAAAACGCCAATCGCAGCACCATGTAAGGTGGCTTGGAAGTGACCCTCAGTAACAGGAAAGAGGTTGGAGGTTTTTCTGAAACACTGCAATATGGAGTACATTCAACATTAAGCAAAATAATGCACACGCATTCAAATACGTGTACTAATTGGTATATTCGAGCTCTGTCCAACAAAGGAATAAATTGAAAAGAGCATATATTTTTGCATTTTTCATAAAATCTTATCACCAACATCTGAAATCAAAAAACACTTTAGACAAAAAATGTGTATAATTCTTTATTAATATGTGTCAATATAATTAGGGTTTTTTATTTTATTTTTATTTTGGGGGGGGGGGGGG